ACTTGCTAATGGAGGGCAGGGGAAAACCCCAGCCCAAACAACTTTTAAATGTTACTAAGATTTACACTGTTTTTGTGGATGTGGTAAGTGCATCTTAAACAAGGACTGTCAAATTGGTTGTGACTAACTAACTGTAAATAAAAATATTTGCTAATACCTGTCAAGAAGAACAGATCTTTAATTAAAAATATACTCTTAAAGTCTGTTTTATAAAACAAGTTTATCTCCTGTGGGTTTTTTTTTAAAGCTTAAAATGTGATTCAAACTGGTTAATTCTAACTTTGGCAGTAAACACTTTGTCTTTTTACCTATGCAACAATCTGAGATTGAAAATCTAAGCAAAGCAGTGCAAGGAAAAGGGCTAGAGGTAACAGTAAAATTACCACAGGGTATCTAACATTTTAGAGCAGCTCCTTTCATGAAATTCTCACTGCTGTGATTTCTGTAGTGCTGATTTCCTCAATCCTTTGTGATGAATGTGGCCACTTTTGCATACGGAGGCACACTCATGGATGTGGTCTTTCACAGTGTGTTTCTAAAAATAGAAGCAGCAAACCTGTTAGTAAAATTTCTGCAGTGTGTGTGGTATGTGGCAGTGAGAAGCTACTAAATTTTAATAAGAATTTAGCAAAGTTGTGTTCCAGCATAAATAATCTTTTTAATGTGTTTACATGAAGTCTGCCAGGCTCACGTGAATTTGTTCTTCCTGTCAGCATGAAATGAAGTGGCCTTTCTAATACAGGGTGCTGGTCCTTTCCTGGGGTAGCAGCAATAAGCAATTGGCCTGTACTGGTCTCGTACTTGGGCACTATGTATTGCACTTGTAGCATCTTCTCTCCCTGAAGTACAAGCTTGCCATGCAAGGTGTGTACCCAGAGTCCTTGGTAAATCCTGTGTGTTGTCTACAGTAGCATCTGCAAATGTTCCTGTGTTTGTGCACAGCTTTTGTCTTCTCCCCCACAAAGGATACAGAGTGTCCAAAGGAGGGCTACAGAGGTGGTGAAAGGATCTAGAAGGAAAGCTTTGTGAAGAGTCGCTGAGATCGCTTGGTCTGTTCAGCCTGGAGAAGTGGAGGCTGAGGGCACACCTCATTGCAGTTACAACATTCTCAACAGGAGAAGAGGAGGGGCAGGCACTGATCTCTTCATTCTAGTCATCAGTGACAAGACCCAGAGGAAGGGCATGAAGGTGTTCTGGGGCAGGTTTAGGTGGGATATTAGGAAAATGTTCTTTACCTGGGAACAGTGACCCAGGGAAGTGGTCACAGCACCAAGCCTGGCAGAGTTCAAGAAGCTCTTGGAGAGCTCCCTCAAATAGGTGGTGTGACTCTTGGAGTTGTGCTGTGCAGGGCCAGGAGTTGGACTCGATGGTCCTTGTGGGCCCAACTCAGTCAATTCTGTGATTATCATCAGACTCTCATGTGTTCTGCTTAGACCAGTGTAGTCCTTTCTAGCAGTAGCTGTGTGATGCTGCTGCAGCTCAGTAACTGCTACAATACTGTTTCATGTGCTTTGTTTTGCCAAGAGTTTGGCCCAACACAGGCATTACCTGTGGCTGGTTCTTTGCTGCCTTCTGTAAGCAGCTGAGTTGTGCTCTCTGATTCTCGTGCAGCTGAGTTCCTTAATGTGATGGTGCTCTTCTGCATACAGGTACTCTGCACAGTACAGGAAAGAGAGTTGTAGGTGAGCATACACATCATTCTTCTGATCCATGTGTTTAAGTGAACTCTGACTGTTCTTCGTGCTTGGATATGCTGTGTATTCTACTTCAAAGGTCATGGCTCACTTTATGATCATAAAGCATGTTGAAATCATAAAAGTCTTAATCTTCCACACCTTTTTTCTCTTCCCGATGAAAGGAAATTAGGCACTGAACTGTAGCCACCTTCTTTCTTGGTCTCTGGAACTGACGTTGCTGTTCTTTTGCAGCAGCTTTGGAGCTTGCAGCATGTAAGCCTTCATTTGAAGGCTTACATGCTTGCAAAACAAATAGGCTTGTATTTAATGTGACTACAAATGTCTCTTCTGTAGTCAAATTCTAGAGATTTTTTACGGTCATATGCTTCATGAGGAGTTTGTGGAATTGCATTCAGTCTTTAATTTTTTTTTGATTCAGCTAGGATAACACAAGCTGCTCAGCTGATATTGTAGCTGACACGCAAATTTAAGGATGTATTAATACTAGTGGAAGAAAAATGAGAGGTGAAATTGATTGGAGTATGGGTTGGATCAATACTGGTATTCCTAAAAAGCTTTTCTTAGTGAAATGTTGGGATTGACCATATTGAATAGTTTGTTTTAGTTTTAGCATTTGTTACAAGCACAGGCACCTCCAGAGACCTGGAAAAAATTGGTATGTTTTTATTTTGATAAAGTTTGCATATAGATTTGGGTCTCTTAGTTGTTGGTTTTTTTTTTTTTTTTCAGTAACTACTTTTTGGTGCTTGGTAACCTCAGATCCATTATCTTAGAATGTAGTCTTTTCTCATCTCTTCCAAATGAACTTCCAGTTACCTGGGAAAGACATTAGAAGCTTTGATGTGATCTCTAATTATTCAATACTAGGTCATTTGCAAAGCAGTCACTGCCAGTTTTCTGTCTGCTTATCCAGAAATCAGCTGCTGGTGGGCAGGCACAGGGGGCAGGTGTGTAACGTGCCTGCTCCTGAACAGCTGCTCTTCACAGCCTGAGCTGACAATGTGAGCATGCAAACTTCTACTTGTAATTCCCCAAGCTGTGAAACTGTGCTGGTTGGAGCTGCAGTGTGTGATCTTCCTTGTACCTGGATGCAACAAAATTCGATAGTTTTGTGCACAGGAGCCATAGTGATACAGTTAAGCAATTCTGAGAGTAATAGAGAGGGGGTAGGTGGCTCTCACGGTTTTTCCTTTGCATTGTTGGCTCTCTGATTCTGTGATTGTCATGGTGCTGCTGCCCCTCCTCTCTCTCCAAAAGCTGCTGCCTCTTGTTTGCTGAGCTCCATCGAATGACTTTGTGGAGCAGTGCTGTTGAGGTCTAATGAATAACCTTGTGCAGACAATTATATTTCCAACATGGATCAGTTCAGTGTTGAAGGGATGCTATGCTGATAATGAGATTTAGTTGCTTTAGTTGTACTAGCTGGAGGCTGGTGCAGGTGGCTCAGAGTAGGAGTGAGTGGGGCAGGGACAGTTTCTTTGGCAGGTGTGTTCATGAAGAGAATGGTGTGTCAACCTTTGGCCTGCACTAAAGCCTTAAAGTGCCAGCACTTGAGCTGCAACGTGGTAAGCAAGTGTTCCTACACTTGTGCCAAAGCCATGGTAATTTTCTGCCTTAAGCCACTGCTGTATGCAATGTGTTTTTAAAATAATACTTCAGTATTAAACCTGGCCTCAAAGCACTGCAATCTAGTTACCTGCATCTGTCTTTAAGTGCTGCGCTAAAAGAGAAGTTCCTGCTCTGTCTTTGCTATTTTGTTTCCATACGTCCACCTATTAGTAAGCCCCCACAACTACTGTGTCCAAATCAAGGATTTGCTTTGCTTAAAACCATGTCAGAGGAAGGGAAGAGGTAGAAATGACTGTCAGGAGGGAAAGTGCTGTTGTGGTTTATACTTGGTGACTGTGCTGCTATAGCATAATTGTATTGCTAAGAACAGCCCCTTGCTTCTGAAAAATTGCTTTCATGATATTAGTGACAGACATAAAATACAGACTTGTTCCAGCACCTGAGATGAGCAGGTATCACTTTCCAAGTTATTCAATGTCTGGTGATGCCAGCAAGTATGTGTGCCTTATTGATTCATCAACTGTTGTAGAGGTTAGTATGATTCTACCTTACTTTCCCATATGATAGTATGAGTGACATAGGTGAATAACTGGTTTTATTCTGTCACCTGTCTCACACCCCTCAAGAATTATTTGCCGTTGTCTTTTTTGGATGAATTTAGGTTCAATCTCTTTCCTAGGTGTTGAGGTCTTTTTGATTAGTACATTTTAAGAAATACATTTCTTACTTTTATATATATTGGATGCCACACAAAGGGGATTTATGTCTTATAGAATGTTCTTTGATATGTAGCTATTTTATTATCGTGCAGCCATTCTAAAACTTAGCCAAGATATCCATTTGCATCTAATGGCTAGATTTCTATGTTTTCATTCATTAACTTATGAGATCTGATCTTTAACTTAACAATTCAAAAAAGTAGTATAGTTAAAACCATGATTTTTCCCCCCACTGTTAATATTGGGTGAGCATTTGCCCTGTAGCTGTGAAGTTTTTCTGTAACAGTCACAAATATTGCATATTCTAGTAATTGTACTTGAGACAGACCTGCTGTATACACTAGGCAGCTGGTAAATCTCCTACCTTCAGATGACATGTACGTAGCAAGATGACTTTTACTGTGGATTTTATACAGAAAGCCATTCTTTGTTCTGTGTGCTGACATATATGCTGTGTTGAGACTCTGTATACAATGACTTTTTTGTCTGTGGTGTCATGTCCGCCTCATGGATGAGTACAGTGTTTATGTCAGCATCTTTAGGCTAACAGCTACAGAGATACGTGGATTATGATTGTTTTGTTACACTAATACAGGCTTCCAAGTCTGAGAATATATTGTTTAGATCAATAAAACTATTACTTTCTATTTTGTTTTTCTCTGTAGTAACCCTGGGACGTGTCATTGTTCTGTTACTTGTGCTCTCTTGGTGGAGGCACTTTTTTCATTTTGGTTTGCCTAGATGTGAGCAATGCTCTGTATGTAGATTTGCAAACTAAATAGTTTTAATGAGATGTTAGATTAAACTACCCTAGATTGGTAACTGTGACTTGGGTTATATCAGCAATTTGGCAACTTCATATATAGAGGCTGGCAGTGTTTATCAGTAATGGCTGAACATAGCTGGAAGCTGTTTTTTGCTGAGTGGTGGGGATGCAGAGCTGGGGACTGCTCTGAAATGTCTGCCTTTTTTTCAATTAATACCCCAACTGCCTCTCTTTAAATTTTTACTATAGATAAATCATATTGTGCACAATGGAGGATTATACAAAAGGCCTTTCAATGAAGCTTTTGAAGAAACCCCAATGCTGGTTGCTGTGCTGACCTATGTAGGCTATGGCGTTCTCACTCTCTTTGGATACCTGCGAGATTTCATGCGGCAGTGGAAGATTGAGAAGTGTCAAAATGCAACAGAAAGAGAAGAACAGAAGGTAACCACTGGGAAATGGGCTGAGGAATGTTCATGGGAAATGGGCTGAGGCTTGAGTGTTTCTTTGGGGAGAAGTGGTGTTCAAAGTTTTCTGCTGTTTTCCTTGTCTTCTGGATGCCCCAATTGCTATACAAATAGTGCTGTGTTATAAAAAAAATAATGTTTCTTTTGAGTTATTTTTCCTCAGAATAGTTTCCTCATCTGTCTCAGTGCAAAGCTGCATCAACAGTTAGATGAACATACAGCTGCAGAAACAAGAGTTTGGGAAAGAGAGATTGTATATTCCAGCATCAGTACTTAAAGAAAGGCTCTGGTTTTAGTTTCACACCAATGGGAGGCTTTCTGATGCTAATCTGATGACTGAGTTTTGATTTAGAAATGTTATTAATTCTCTTTATCTGAAGCAGTTGCAAAGAGAAGCTTGTGGGTCAGATCCAGAGCACAAGCTATAAAATTTAAAATTCTTTTGGCGTCCAGAACACAAGCAGGTTAGGTGATGAGTAATTTGAGGTACTGAATAGTGCCTCACTGATAGTGATTAGAAAGAATTAATTCATGTTACGACCCACTCACAAAAGCTTCTGTTACCAGGTGAAAGGTCTTGCCTGCTTCAGCAGTTAGCCTGGAATGGATAATTCTGTTTTTCACTACTTGTAAATTATTTTTAGGGATCTTTATTCCCCACTGGAGTTACTTGTTTTTAGGAAGCTATTGCTGAAACATGAAGTTCACAAGGTTTTTTTTTTTTTTGCTAACTCCTTATGTGAGCCCTCTTAGAAGAGTGTGACTACCAGTGAGCTGTCTCCAAAGGTCTTATTCTTGCTGATTTGGGTTCTCTCAAACTATTTTTCTCAACTGCTTTGCAGAGCCAATGTGGCTTATAAAATGTTAAAGGAGTTCCTTTTCCAGTTGCTGGTTTCTGGTTCTCCGTGCAGCCACAGAAGCAGTTGGCTAGCAGAAAATAGCAGGGGGCAGAAAGGATATCTCAGTAAGGCAAACAAATAATCAAGGGTGGCAGGAAGGAACTAAAAAAGGGAAGGCTTCTTTGGAGCCTTTTTTTGGAGACAGCACTGGAATAAAGTGCATGTCTTTTTACAGTAGCTAAGGACCAGTGCCTAAAATGACCTCACAGTAGCTTCTTTCTGTGAACACTGTGAGGTAGAATTAAGCAGATTCAGAGTAGGGCACGAAATTCCAAAATAGAAGCATTCTTACGGGAGTTTAATGACTAAAACGTGTTTCATATTGGTTAAAAGTACAGGAGTTAAAATTTACACAGTTGCTAAAACTGACTTCTGAGTGAGTGAAAAAAGGAGGCAGCAGGTCTAATTCAGTAGCACATTATTGATATTAGGCTCTAAATAGAGATTGCCACAGAGGACCTTGAAGCACAGAGGTTGTTAGCAAAAGGTTATCCTAGTCCTAAAAGAAATGTGGCCTTGAATTTTTTTATAAATTAACTCAGCATTGCATCTTACCCTGAAAGAATTGAAACTCTTTCAGTTTCTATGTTGGTTACAGCTCCCATGAGGAGATGCACGTATTCTGGTTTTGTTTTGTACATAGGATGTCTGTGGATGGAGCTAATAAGAAGTGCCAGTGAATACTGCGTAAGAATGAAAAATAGGAAATCCTGTTTAAAGAAGTTTTGGTGTTGGAGAAATCTCAGCCTAGTGTACTTCCCCAAATCATGTCTCTAGCACTTAGATTGTAGTAGCTGCTTCTGCTATCAGACAAATAGAAAAGCAGTCACGTGACGGCTGGAACATGCAGTACTTATCCTCACCCTTTGCTGCTTTAAGCTTTGTTTGCTTGCAAATGAATTGATGAGAGCACATTGCAGCACGTCTAGTGTGGGAACCAGGGGTTATTTTGGTGCAGGAGGTGGAGGGAGAGGTGTGTGCTCAATTACTTGTTTTGAAGTTCTTTTCTCCAATATTTGAGTCTCTCTGCTGGATGACAGCCCAGTCACCTTTTGGTAAGGGAATGCAGGTACTAGTGTGTAAAAAAAGTTCAAAACTTACCTTTTTATTGTTATTAATATATGTAAATCAGAGAACCCCTGTGATTACACTGGAGTGCTTTCTGGCAGATTTGTGGGAATCTTTCCTCTGTGTGGAAATTAACCTTTTTTATTACTGAAATTCTCAAGGGCCAACTAGGTTGTTATGATTTTCTTAAGTATCAAGCAAAAGGATTAGCCTTACCTTTTTGAAATAATTAATAATTGAATAGGTAAAAAATTACAAAATTATGTAGTGTGAGGAAGTATTTTGTAAAGGGCTGAATGAACTTGTTCTGAAAATCATGGAATTGAAGTATGTGGATTTTCTGTGGTGTGTTTCTGAAGGTGTTTACATTTAAAAGCATAACATAAACTTAGGTCCAAAACAGTATTAAAAACAAACACAAGGAAAAGACTCAGTTTTTCTATGTTATGGAGGACAGTTTATTTTAGTAGAGCAAATTCTTCCTTAAATCGTCATTTAACAGTATAATCTTACTCTGCATCATAGCTAGAAAACTGCAAATTTAACCAGCAGAGCAGAATTTTGAACAGGTTTGAATTACAGCTGTTTCTGATGGCAGGTAAATTCCTTGTAATTTATTACAGCCATGCATTGATATCAATGATTCTAAGAAAGCCTAATATTCACTCGGTGTTGAAACACAAAAGGGTGAAAAGGGGCAGACTTTGCTAGTACTGATTTCCAGGAAACAGTTTCATGGGTTTTGGATTTATTTAAAATACATCCAGCTGAGCTTTTCCTGGAAACCAGTGTTGTGTAGCACATCCTCTCTGAAGCATTACTGGTCTATTTAAGGCATGGGTAAATGGCAAGATTAACAATTCTCAATTACCCTGGAATCAATTTATGCATACCAGTTTAATGTGCTGTCTAGTCATAAAATATAGTTAAATCTGCAAAATGCTTCCAGGATTTTACAGGCCGGATGAAAATCACTTTAACCTTTCCTCCAGCCTGATTTGCCTGTTGATTACCTTCCATGTTTTGTGTTTGGGAGTGACTCTTAATGGGCCTGGTAACTCTCTAATATACTGCTCCATGCTCTGTAGCTTGCCCAGCTAGAACATGTTGCTAGCATTTGGGGTTTTCAAGACATGTTCACAGGAGTCCAGCTGTAGGAATATTTCAGGGGCAGTAAACTGGAATTGTTTGTTCAGTGTTGTCTTAGCATCTGTGTAGCTCATCGGGGGCCTCCTGATGATACAAAGGCTACCCACAGTTATTGCTCCACTTTCCTTGACTCACACAACAGCAAGGTGAAACTAGTCTTTCTGCTTCCTTTTAGAGGCCTGGAATTTGTTGCAATTGTCTGCTGGATTTCTGTTCAGAGTCAGTTCTGTGTGTGTTATCAGAGAGCACGTTATGTGAATTCAGATAAGCCTGCTGGTGCTCATGGCACCATTTGTTAGCTTAGGTGCAATGCTGTGAAAACTTGGCTCTGAAAGTAGCATAATCACTGCATTTGCATGTCCCTGTGCCCTGAGCTAGAGGCTACAAAGCTCTCATTATGACCTTCACTTGTTGCAATATTCATTTAGAGTATGATGAAATAATGGATTCCCAAATCACCTATGCTAAGGTGTTGCACCCCAAGGGAGAATTTTGTTCTTCCCTTGACTGGCTGTGCTTTTCGTTGAAATTGCTGTGCTTTTCAGGCTTCAGGGAGACCACTAGTACTTCAATTTCTTCTTCAGGCATCCCCTCAATAGGGTATGTGTTCTAGGCTGAAATTGACAGGAATAGAGCTGTTTAGGATTTTTTTAGCTCCATAAATGAAAGAACTTACTGCTTTTCCTCCCTCTTTTGGGTCCAGTGTTGCAGTTGACTGTTTACTCAGAAGATTGCTCAAAGAAGCAATTCCTAGAATATTTTTCCTCTGATTGAAAATGTTTAATCTCAGACTGATATTCTTAGGGATCCTTACAGCTAGGAAGAGTGTTGGATCTGAAATTAGATGAGAGAACTTGATAGAAAAATAACAAGATCTGAAGATAACAATAACAATATTTAAAGGTGATAGTGGTTGCTTCCAGTTCTAGGATGCAGTTGCAGCAGAGCACTGTGGTTGCATGTGTAAAAAATTTTAAATAATGGAATATGCTAAGTTGGAAGGCACCCACAATGACACTGAGGCCTGCACAGGACATCCCATTACACCATGTGCCTCAGAGGGTTTCCAAACTTCTCCATCTGTGTCAGGCTTGGTGCTGTAACCACTTTCCCTTGGGAGTCTCTTCCAGTGCCCTCTGGGTGAAAATTATGGATTGATAGAGTTCATCCCTCCCTTCCTTCCCAGGTGTTTATTTTTTTTGGTTCAAAGATTGAAAACATTAAATTAGCATGAGGAATTCAAGTGGTCTTTTTGTTGTACTATCTACTCTTCATCTGGAATGCCACACTGTAGAAGGATGGAGGAGGTAAACAAACAAACAAACCAGCCCCCAAACCAACCAGCAGACCATCTGCTCCTGTATGCCAGCTCCAAAAGAGGGCTCTGAAACTCCAGAAGTCAGTATCAGTTTATAAAGGTACAATATCCTTACCCTTTGTTTTTTACATTCTCAGATCTGTGGGTCGTGAGAACCCCTCAGTGGGGTCAGGATCACTGAGGAAATAGACAATCCATTTTTGCATTATGCCAAAATAACATTTCCTGCTTGCTCTATTCCAAGGAACTTTCTCATGAGACCTATCTGAGGATGGTTTGTTGGAGGGAGCAGAACATGTATAGATAACAAAGGAGTTGGCAGTGTGCTGGCACCTACTTAAAGCCCTTTACTACAATCCTACAGCTTGGTACTCCAAAAAACTAAAGCTAGTGTCCCATATTAAACCTTAATTCTCTTACCCATAATTTATTCCTGGAATTCTTGTTGACTTTTAAAACATATTTTTTCTTTATCATGATTCAGTAGGTTCAGAGAACTTCTCTTCCTCTCAGTAACTTTAAACTTAGTTCTAGTGATGGCTTTTTCTTAAAATAAAATGTTTGTGTTACCTATACTGGAGGTGCCAGCCTGTAGAGGATGATTATCCTTAAGTCACCAGTTGAGCTTGTTACTGTTCTGGCTTTGTCAGCTTGGGTTTCAAAAGAAAACTCATCTGATGAGTAATCTGAAGTGAGACTGGGCTGTATGGACCCAGGCATACCTGCTTGAGTTGCTAGGATGGCTCATTACCAGCCTCCCCCTTCCAGCCAAGAACCTTGGCTAAAATACCAGTTGTTTCTCAACTCACACAGTTGGTGTGCTTGGATAACTGTGCAAAGCTGAAATCTTGTGTGTAGATGGTTAGGAGGAGGTGAAAATACTGAGAAGCATCTCAGTAGATTTTAATTAGATTTAACAAATCTCTCAAGTATTGATCTTCTAATGTGCCAGTGTTTCTTTTTGGTTTCGCTTTCCCCACCCCTCTTCAAGTAACATAGCAGAGGGTTTGAAACAATTGCAGGTAATCATTTTGATTTTGTGTCATGAATTGAGACAGGAACATGGAAGAAACAATTGCCCTTCTGTGCATCTTAGGACCTAGAAATTTTATTCCCACTGTCCCTTTGAGAAAGGACATACTTGTGATTCTCTGAAAGAGTGATTGCTAGCTAAATTTGGGTTGTGTTTCCACAGTTGAAATGATGGAAATGAATATCTTTGTGCCTTTTTGACACAGGTAGATCAGAAATGGGTTTAGCAGTTGTATCTGCTTAGAAGTTGGCACTTTTGGGCTTGGTCTTTTCTGTGCAGCTGCTGATAGGAGGATGCAAAGGTGTGGACCTAAATGTTCTTTACTCCAAACTGCAAGGACAAGGTTGTTAAATCATTAAAATAGGAAGGTAATGAAAAAAGTACTCCTACAGGCAAGCATTGTAAGTAAGAGCTTGTAAGTGCCTGTTTGTGTTTTTATTAAAAATCTGCCATAAATGCTCCCAGTTTTGCTTTAGTGGTACAAATATCTGACACTACAGTACTTGGTGACACACTCTGCCTTTCTCATACTGCCACCAAAAATAAAATTCCCATCACAATGTTTGCATTTTTCTTGTGAAAAACAGGAAGAAATGCTCAACTGGCTCATACCTCTGTAATAAATTCTACTTTTTCCTTCTGTAGATGATTAAAAAGGTGGTGATTTTTTTTCCCCCCATCAGAAGCAAATGAATTATGCATTCTTATCTCTACTAAATGTCAAACTTTCTTTAATTAAATAGTAAAAAGGAAATCTTGTGACTTTAGGGCAAGAAAAAAATGTTCTTGAGTGCTCAGATGTCCTTGCTGCCACGGTTAGTTTGACATTCTTGTGTTATCCATTCAAGGCAGTCACTTTTCCTGGAAAACATTGGAAAGGAAGCTAAAATTCAGGAAAGGCTCATTCATAAAAATCATGTGGGACTTCTGTGTTGATAAGCTGTGCAGAAGAGAGGTACCATAATGCAGCTTATTAGCTTCTATTGAAAACAAAAAATTGTGGAAGTTCTTATGGCAATGTGTAGAATAATGCTAGTGGTGCTATATTAAATGCATTCCTTATGCACAGAATAAAATATGGTAGAGCACCTTAGTTTTCCAAAGTCTTTGTGTATTCAGTACAGCAATGTTTGGTGCCAAAAAGCCCTTGCATGTTCCCTTGCTCTGCTTAACTCAGAGGCTGACTGTAGCTCTCCTGCAAAGATTATATGCCCATGATTTAATGAAGGGGGTTATTTTATATTTTGTGTTTTCCTGAGTTTTTCCATTATGCCAGAATGACAGATAAGAATTATTCCTGCTACTCTTATTTTACTGTCATATATATTTTCCTTTTACTTTGAGTGCTTTTGATGTGTTTCAGGACTTTGTCCCATTGTACCAGGACTTTGAAAATTTCTACAACAGAAACCTCTACATGCGCATTCGGGACAGCTGGAACCGTCCAATCTGCAGTGTGCCAGGGGCCAAAGTGGACATGATGGAGAGAGTTTCCCATGACTATAACTGGACATTCACGTGAGTCAAAACTGAAGAAAACACTTGCAAGAGCTGCCTTAAAATACAGGGTCTCTAAGAGCAAGTTGTAGGGTGTGAGGTCAAAGGAGCAGTGAATTATGAGCTTTATTATGAAAGTTTGAGCTTTCTAGCAGCTTGAATCAATGAATTTTGCTCTTTTGAAATAGATTTAGCCACCAAGGTGAAATAGATTTAGCCACCAAGGTGAAATAGATTTAGCCACCAAGGTGATACAATCTTTTGGCTGCCTTACTGTATTAAGATTTCCTGGACATACACCTGTAATAAAATTAATACCTTTGTGCATATAATGTTAATACCTGGTGTGGATATATTGGATTGCACTGCTGCTTGTGACTTTGTGGTGATTGAGAAGAAGTTCTGCCACTTTAAGTAAATGCTGCTGTCAGCAACTGTATTTGACATGATTGTTTTGAGTCAGAAGTGAAGTAGTCTGTAGAAACAAAATGAGAAATACAATAAAGGGTTTTTACAAATTGGAAATAACGTATCACAGGTTTGATGTGAAGAGGTTTGCAGCACAGGACTTGGTGAAACTACTTATGTCTCTTCTTGGCTTTCAAGGGCAAAAGAATTAAAATTGATTTTTTTCTGCTGAACTTCTTCCTTATTCTCCTTGTCACGTATTGTTAGCACAGAAGTGCCAGATGTGTTTCCTTTCTGCGGTTAGAGGATATCCCGCTTGAGATGCTGCCAAGTTAATTGATCTAGAGGTGTTATTTTGTAATTGAAAGAAAACTTGTATGTTTCTGGGATGGAGGGAGGAACATGTCAGAGCAACAGATGGTTTGAGAAGCCTCAAGCAATTTCATGTGTGATAGCAAATTCACCTGTAAATGTAAACTCTTCTGGGAGTTAATTTGAGATTGTAAGATAGGGAGAGAATCTTTTTAACTGATTGTTGCAGTTTGATGAGAGGCAGTACTGAAATAATTTAATGTTTGGTTCTATTGAGTTTTAACATTTCAGTGTATAGTCTAGGAAAGTGAAGTAATAATCTTCTGGTATAGATAATTTTTAAAATTTTGGGTATCCTAACTCGTGCTATTTTTAAAACACAGATACACAGGGAGAGTGATAAAAGACATCATAAATATGGGTTCCTACAACTACCTTGGGTTTGCACAGAAGACTGGGGCTTGCCAAGAAGCAGCTTCTGAAGTTCTGTCCCAGTATGGAGCTGGGGTGTGCAGCACCCGGCAGGAGATGGGTAAGTTGGAGGATGATAATGTGTTCCTGAATGTTTATTTCAGTCTGTATCTGATTGCAGGTCTTTAAAACATTAGTTGTTTCAGCATTGAACTTTAGTCTAACTGATAAAGCAGCTTTTACTTCAGTGAAGACAAATTGACTTCCTGGATTTAGTTTATGTTGCACAGCAGTTGTTTTACTTACGTTTTCATATATGGGGTTTTTTCAGTGTTCCCTTATGGGCCTTTAAATAAAGCACAGCTTGGTTGGTGGAAAATCTCTTTGTAGAGTTTAGCAGTAGTGAAAGCTTCTCCTTACTCTGAATTTCCCATTTGTTTTATGTGCAGGAAACTTGGACAAGCATGAGGAGCTGGAAAAGCTAGTTGCCAGGTTCCTAGGTGTGGAATCTGCAATGGCATATGGAATGGGATTTGCAACCAACTCTATGAACATTCCTGCTTTAGTTGGCAAGGTATGGCTTAAGTCATGGACAAAAGCTCACCTAGGAAAGATTCTAGTGGTTAATTTTTTCTAAAAGCTACTTGTTTGCTTTTGTTTTTCCTCAGTGGCAGCCCCTGCAGATATTCTCTATGGAGACAGACTGTAGGTCACAGAATGCATCTCTAACCATTGCAAAAATCTCTTTGAGAAACAGCATCCATGGGACCAGTAGCAGCATAGAACTTTCTTTCTGGGAGAAAGCCTGGCATGTTAAGGCTTGCTTCCTCAGGCTACTCCTTGGTGTGTGAGATGGTGGCTGATTAACAGACTGATTGGCTGAAGGTATTTTGGTGCTTTTGAAGCACTAAGAACCAACTATGTCAACTACACAGATAAGCTGAGTTGCATATTGGTACATGGAGAATTTATTATCTTTGAGTGACAGCTAAAAAATCCTTCCTTGGAAGAAGCAGAAAGGTTGTTTGAGGGAAATAAGGTTAACTGTAAAGACTCGTGATGTTTATTGTGTGCCCCATAAAACAGGAGACAATTAGTCTGAGTGTCCAGTATTCTCCACCAGTGCTATTTTAGTTATTGGAAAATCAAATAAAATTGAAATTTTTCTTTGCTTCTTCTTGATGCAAAATACATGTTCTCTTAGCTCCTCCTTAGAGTAAAATAGTGCAAGTACTGGAATGGGTTGTTTTTGGTTTTTTTTTTGGCAAATTATTCACTGTCAGCCTAATACTGCTAGTCTGTTGGAATTCTTTGCCCCTGTCTGGTGAATTATTTTGAATTATTTTGCTTTTATTTAATTTTTTTTTCATTTCCTGAGATTACTTCCTAAATCTTCCATGTCTGATATCTACAGATCATAAATTTTCCGTCTTTTTCTTCCTGACAGCTTTTCCTGGTGATTGATTTTCTTTTGCATTAGCTGCACTGTCTTCCTGTATGCTTTTTTTCTTTTTTTTTTTTTAAACAAGGAAGTAGCACTGTCTACATAATGGCCCTTTTCTTTTGGTCTGTTTTAAATATCAAATGCTTTGCATATTAAAAAAAAGACTTTTTTGAGTCTGATGCTAGAGAGAAATTCAGTGCTTCAAATCTAATCTTTCTGGAGTCAAATACTTCTGCAGTGCTGTGAATCTGAGCAATATATGTTGCTTCTGAAATGTCTTTTACCTGCATGTTTTGGTTCTTTGTCTTTCCACATCTCTCCAGTTTTATGTTCAACAGAAAAATTATTCATAATTTCTGTGAGACCTTTCAGATTCAATACACACTGTACTTAATGTACTTAAATGTACTTAAATGTACTGTCAGGTACATTTAAGTAGATTGCTCGTTGTTGTCACTACAAATGACTCATTCCTGCAAACTTACTCAATCTTTTTTTCTATGTGGAGCCCTCTGTATATCTTCAATACCTTCTTCAATACCTTATAAGAATGCCCTTGAGACACCTTACTCAGATCCTGAGTTTTCACCTTTGAACTTCAGCAGGTTTTACAACCATTAAGAGAATCTGAACAGTAAATTCCAAGGCATGTAACATACCTTTTTTATGCAGCTCACTCTAGTAAACCAACTCTTGTCATAAATGGTGCAGCAATCCCTGCTGGTTTAGTCATGAGGATACTTACTTTATTGTACACTTGAAATAAAGTAGTAAGAAGCTTTTGCCTCATAACAAGACAGGTGCCCTTATACTCAAGTGAATACTCCAAACAGAAATTGCACTCTGGTAAAGAAGAGAGTTCTTGTTGGATGAACCATTTTGCTGTTCAGAATGTTCACTGAATGTTTTGTTTGGCTGCCTGAAGTTGCTTCTCACTGCACATTTGATTTCTTCATTGTCTGCAAATAAGGAGACATAAATCCTGAATTTTGGCACCACCCAGTACACAATTAATTGCGTGTGCGCTACCTGTTTGGCGATGTTTAGTAAAGCTCAGAGATTCTCATGCTTGATTAAACTCTTGGACTGTTTGTGTCTTTTTGCATGTCCTACTTACATTTTCAACTGCAAAGCTGCTTGGAACACAAGATATCTTCCAAGTTATTCTGGGCTTCTGTATTACTACTTAATTAGCTAAAAACAAGCTGCTGAGTATAGTTGCTCACATATACTGGACCACCTGTTCTTTTTCTGCTCTGTGAAATCCTGAAGCACTTAGTTTATGTTCCTACTGAATCTTCTTTTAATAACAACATATACAGTCTGACTAGATCCATCTTTATGCCATAATTTGATCAGAATTAGTCAGCAAAAGGAATTCAAAAGCTTCATCATTATTTAGTTGATCTTAATTCACTATGCCTTGTTAACAGCAGCCTCTACTAAGCACATGCTGAAAATAAGTATAGTTGGTGTAGACTGAAAGCTGTATTTCAGCACTGTTAAAGCATTACTAAAATCAGATGTTTCTGCACCTGGTGGTTTTCAGCAGTAGAGACCCTCTGTTCACAGCCAGTTTGTCACGTGCCTGATACACTCATTGGCAAATATGCTGAGTCTAGGCCACAGATAATGGGACATTTGAAGGTTACTAAGTCAGAGGTTGTTAGACCATTTGAGGCTAACCTAGACTCTCAAACTTGCCTGTTTTAGATTAAGTACCATTAATATAGTCAGTATAACTAGGTAATAACACTGTTCTGTATTGCCTTTAGCACAGAATTTTTCATCATAGCTCTGGATGGAGAGAGACTGTACAATTGAGTTAGAACAGTGATGCTTGAAGGATATTTTTTTGGTTGTAAGAAAGCACATTAATTTCCACATATAGGTGAGTTTTAAATTAAGTGCTCAGGACTGAATTACACAATTCATGTACATAGCTCTCTAGTAAAATGTGGCATTCACTTCAGTGGGCCTTGCAGGATGTGGTGGTAAGCCTGTTCTTCACTGACATATTTTTCTAGAGTCCAAGTTGTGTTATCTCCAGTTCCTGTTAGCCTTGTCCTGAATGCTTTCTCAAATGTAAATTTGCTGATAAATGCAACTGAAGTCTTATCACTGTAGTAGCATCACTCAGTTTGACATACAATCATCAGTGATGGCTATTCTGTGCCATTGCCTTATGTAATCCATTGCCTTCTTTCCAATGGCAGACAGTACTAGACTAGTTACTACTTCTTCAATTTCAAATTCATTTGTTTCTAATTGAATGTCCTTTTAGCAGAGGGTGAAAAGAGGCTGCTGCTCATCAGTTTGTTAAATCTACTTTCTCCACCAAAAGCTTGTCCTTGTTTTTAAGGAAAAGCTTTTTCTAGGCAATGAATTTCTTCTTTTCTTCATTTTTTTTAAACTATCAGTTTTCCTGCTTTCTACCATTTAAGAAGGATACTATTACTGGATTATTATATTCACTTTTCTTGATACAGTAGTGTTTAACAGCCATGTCCTCTGATATATACTTACTCTGTCTGATGTAGTAGCTCTAAAGAGCAAACACTAGTTGGAAATTTCCATACTTCATATGCCAAAGTCTCTGAAACATGTAATGTGAGTGCTTGTAGCAGCAGTATGAACATATGGCATTTGTGACAATTTCTGGGGAAAACTAGTCTCTGGCTTTCTCAGAATGTAGAATGTTTCTAGGGGCATCACAGTTCTAGTGCAGAGACTTTGAGACTCTGCACTAGAGGGAAATAAGGTTAACTGTAGGGCAAAGTGCTCCTGTTGTCTGGGACACTCCTGGTATAACTGTAGGCAATGCTTTTGACAGTCCCTTCTAGTAATTCCCATTGCAGAGAAATCCTCTTGATTCCTCCCTCATTAAGCTGTTATAAGAGAGGCGTGGAATGAACATGCTTCAGTGTTAGATCTTCAGCATCTTGACACCCTTTCTAGATTTTTAACTGAGCAAAGTCACTTCTAAAATTGCAGCATGTTTGCATAGTAATTGGAGGGAGCCAAGGTTATTTAGAAATATTGTTGCTTCCTTATATATTAATCCCCCAATATACATACATTCCTGTAGCCCAGTGGTAATACTGTGACTGAATGTTCAGCATATCAGTTATTGACCTGTAATCATCACTGCTTTCAAAACATACATATCCTGTTTTAATGTTTGTCCAAGGATTTATCGTCTGAGCTTTTCTTGAAAAATTAAATTAATTCAGTATCATGTTTAGTGGCTTCAGAAAATTTCTCCAGTTCATCATGCAATTCTGTTTTCCACTTTCTGTCTCTTGTATATTACCTCCATCTACATGTGGGTTTAGTCAGTGATTGCCTCCTAATGAAAGTAATAGTGCAACACTGAGAAGTCCTTTAAACCTAGGTCTTTGGTGTCCTGTTTCTTATCAGCACTGTCGACTTGCTGAGTGAACTGTGGCAAGCTGCTCTGCTCCCTGTTTTACCTGACTGCATAGGAGGATGAGTACTCATCAACAGCATGAGATATTCAGAGATTCAGCTGCAGGACTTCCAGGAAAAGTGAAACTTTAGTGTTTCTTTCAGTTAAGAGCAGTTCTGTATTTTTATTTGCCATACTAAGGCTGCAACTTGGATCTTAGCCAGTCTTGCCTGGACTAGTTGGAATTTGCAAGTAGTTGGAGTTGCCTGCATTTATGTTGGAATTTTTTTTTCTTAAATGATCTTGAAGCGCTGCAGAGCTGAAAGGTTTTACATGCTTGGCTGTGAAACATAACCTTTTCAATATATTCTTCTTTCCCCTTTTAATTCAGGGCTGTCTGATTCTGAGTGATGAACTGAATCATGCATCACTAGTGCTTGGAGCAAGACTGTCAGGAGCAACTATTCGAATCTTTAAGCACAACAGTAAGTATCAGATGGTGAACTCTGCTTTTCTGCAGATGCTATAGATCAGATGCAATATTTTCTATCTTCTGGTAGCTGAAAATCCAATTTCATGCAAGGAAATCAATTGCTAGTTATGTAAAAGGTCAGAGGACTGCTGCTACTGAAGTTGAATCATCCTGAATCAGATTTTTTTATGTATTCAGTCCCAGCTAATAACACTTTTATCCTGAAGCTGTTCTGGCCTACATCTTCTGCATATGGAGGAGAACACGCCACACTTTGGCAAGTCTAGGGACACTGGTGTTTTAACATTGTTTCTTGTCCTACCACACTTGGGTAGCTCAGCATGGTTAGATTATTCTAACAGTGTGTCACATAATGATGCAGTCTTGTAGTGGTCTAGGTTACAATTTGGGGGATAAGAAAGTTTAATTTTAGAACTGGATGCTAACATGCTCCTACAGTAACAAAAGCTTAGGATGGCAGATGTCCTAGCTAAACTAGAAAGTCATGAATGGGCACAATATAGTACTAAAACAATTTTTGGGACAAGAAACATAGATTAAGTTCAATGAATTACTTGCTTTAAGTATTTAAGTAATTATTTCCAAAATACACAGATTTTTAAATTTCCTAGTTTCATCTTCCTCCAAAGGAGGTATTTATAATAACTTTCAGGTTAAAACTTGCTAGGATTTCCTTCTCTTACTCTTGATGCAAGAGGCATGTGGTTGTTCTTCATAAGTAAGAACTACCTTCGTTCTTCAGGTACTCCTAATACTCTTTATAGTGTCAGTCTCTGAGGTCATGATGACTCTTGCTCTCTTTGAAGTGTGTAGTAGTAACAGCAAAACTTGGGTGACTGCAATTATTTTTCTTTCTTTGTCTTTCTTGATAGTGTGGATTCTCTCTGCTGTGCTTACTGTTTCTTTTGTGTTCGCTCCTTCTTGTTTTCTATCATTTGAATAATTTGTTTTACAAAAAAGTAGAGCATTTGGTAACATTCATTTTTTCTTTTTAATTCTTCATAAATTTTGGTTGCTGGGCAAGATCACAAAAGCTTTTCATTCAATTTCTTACATTTGTACGGACATACTTCTGAACATTACGTCAGTTGCAGAATTTCAAAGAACATTGGTGACAAACATAGTTCTGGCTATGGGGAAGAAGCTGCTGTGATGAAAAATAGATGATTTGTGGGAATGGCTACAATAGATGATTTGTGAGCATGTGCTTTCCCCTGGTGAAATTGTGGGATATTCTAGAAACATTTTAGATGGTGGGTTGTTGTGGAAGAGAATGTAGTGGCATATTAGAATCAAGGCAAAATGCAAACAATGGTCTTGGTTATCAAGATGCTGTTCAGTTCATATTTCTGTATGTGTTCTCAGTCCTACTCTTGTTATACTCTATGCTACCTTTTTAATGTGATTTTCTTAAGATGTTAATGGCTTCATTCATAATCAGATTTTTAGAAACTGCAGGGGGGAAATGAAAGCTTCCCCTGAAATTCCTTGTAAAATGCTTTTATTTTTTTCCTGCCTTATTCTGTAGTTTGTTCTTTTCATTAATCTCAGACTCATCTTCCCCTCCTTCTTGAAAAGTTAGAGTAGAAGTTTATTTTCCATTTTCTCTCTAATCGCACTAACCTTGTCTTTCCTTCATTGAGAGACCTGTTGGGGACAGGGACTACACTGCTGATTTCTTCATCATTGACTTTCTGAACCTTAGCTGTCTTTTAACAGTACATTAACTGACCTACTCTGCTGTTTAGTTTTAGTCTAGATCTAGTTCACAGGCTCCTCTTGCTGCTACAACTAGTCTACCAGTTCTCTTTCCATGATTAATTTGTTCTCTTTTTCACACCCTAGTGTTTATATCTATCTCTTGCTCAGAACTTGACTTTTATGCTTTGATTAATCCCATCTTTACTCCTTTCCTTGAAGATTTTTTTTCAGGACTGATTCCACATGTATGTATTTGTTCACATTAGTTAGGTCTCTAAGGATCACATCAAGTATTTGTAATCAAACCTTGTAAGATTTCAGAATATGCTTCTACTAACAGTTTCATCTGTCTAGTTTCTGATATGCTGAACATTGTCCTTTTTCCAGCACTGGTGGTTCTCTTTTTTTCCTTTTGTCCTTTGGTTTGGAGACTTCCTTTTCTCACTTCCAATCCCTTCAATTTTAAACAAAGAAATAAAAAAGTACACTTGCCCTGCTTATTTTCCTGCACCTTGGTCTATCTTCTTATCTTTAATTCATTATCCTTGAACTTGTTGTGTTCTAGCTCTGTTCTGTTGTTCTGTTCTGAATTATTTCTATCCACAAGGACATTTGTACTACTAAATTGCCTTCTCTTTTCATCAAAATGAGATACCTTCCTTTTTTTATCCCCCCCCCCCCCCCCGCCCTTTCTTTGTTTGTGCCTAATGCTCTGACTTGTGCTTTTAGTTTAGAATGATGAAATTCTTCCTTGGAGTTCACACAGTCACCTATTCCTTTCAGTTTCATCCATGGTCCTGTAGGGAGATGAAGCCTGTGCTTATTGACTTGTATATGGTCTGTCCTCCATGCTGGAGCAATTTGTGCCTTTTTGGAATATTGCTGTCTTTAGTCATGTCAAAGTTCAAGCTAGTAGCTGTTTTGGTACCATTTAACAGTAATTTCTGGTGCAGATATGCAAAGCCTGGAGAAGCTGCTCAAAGATGCTATTGTGCATGGGCAACCTCGTACACGGAGGCCCTGGAAAAAAATTCTTATCTTGGTGGAAGGAATATACAGGTACAAACTATTCTTTATAATCCTAAGACCCTCCACATGAGATCTAAATGCTTAGTGTTTGAGTTTCTTTGCCAAATCAAACAATGAATATTGTCACTTCATAGTTATTTCATTAGTCTCATCTGCTAATTACATGACACTGTGTATGTCTTACATCCTGGGCTTTCTGTTGCTGGAACTGTAGCTGCAGCTGGTGTTACCACAATGTTTCCCACATCCTGATTATATTGTAGAAATTAATTAATCAAAACTGATTGCTTATATCAGAGCTGAGGTCTTAAGTTGCTTGTCCATTCCATTCTTTCTGTGCTTACTAGATTATTTTAGTGTGAACGGAATTGTACAAATTTAATTTTTTTGCTAAGAATGAGTAGGAGCAGTAAGCATAGCTGTGTTAGGCATTTAAATCCTAGTGACTTTCAGTACAAAATGTGGTGTTTTGAAGTGTTACTAATGAAAGCCCAGTCAGTTCTTAGAAACATCAGGTAAGTAGATGTTAAGTCAGAACACTGACATTAGAGTGGAAGTAAAACTGAGATAATTTTATTAACGAATTATCACTGAACACATTCCTGTGCCCTAACTTCCTGTTGCTACTACTGTTTAGTCTGTGTGTCAGCATTCCAGAGATGCTGAACAGGTAGAAAGGAGAGATCTGGGCCCCAGGTGCAAGGAGGAGAGGTGCATCTCTGCAGACTGTGATGAGTCTAGCAAATTTTAAGTGTTTGTAATTACTGGAAGAGTGAAGAAATTAAAGCTCACTGATTTTAGTCTCTATGAGGTGGTCCCAACAATTAAGTCAACTCATACTGAATTTTTGTTTCTCAACAGTATGGAGGGATCCATAGTCCGTTTGCCTGAAGTGATTGCCCTTAAGAAGAAGTACAAATCCTATCTGTACCTTGATGAAGCTCATAGTATAGGTGCCCTGGGTCCCAGTGGCCGGGGTGTAGTGGATTATTTTGGACTCAATCCTGAAGATGTGGATGTTATGATGGGAACATTCACGAAAAGCTTTGGAGCTGCAGGAGGATACATTGGGGGCAAGAAGGTAAAAAGCTGGGAATATCATGGCTGGTGGTAAAGTCCATTTCAGGCAGGTGGTGGAATTCTTGGTTAAGCATTTCAAATTTAATTTATTCCTCAAGTACCCTATTGTCCCTTTGTTTCATAATTTTACATGCTGTCTAATACTGTGGAAGTCTACAGTGCAGAAGAGTGTAGTTTAGTAAAATACGTCATAATTGTGTAGTTCTCACATGGTCAATGATGATTTGAGTTTGCAGAATGTACAGTAGTGATGCAATACCTTTCTAGGAAGGGCTAGGAGCCAGGAAGCAGGGATTTCTTGATGTTACTTTTAATGAGACTTGAAGGAAAAATGCAAAAAGCTTAAGTTTTTCAACCCGTTTGGAGGAAAATCCTCTTAGGTTAGCCTGGTAGAATTGATTTCCCCTGGGCACAAGCAGTTTGCTTTCTGAAATTACCCTTTTTCCCTTTTTCTTTTTTGACTGGTTGATTGTTTTGTTTTTTGTTTCTTTGTTTTGGCATTTTATTTGTTTGAGGTTTTTGGGGATATTTTTTTGGCTACTGTCTCCTTCTATTGGAAAATACAGCCAGGAAGTGTTGCACTTGCCAACCTCTAATTCTCAGAGGGATGGTGTAGACAGTTCTCTGTGTCACCTTTCTCATATCATAAAATGTCTGATCTCACAGATCAAGCTTCTAAGATTTATTGGAGGGTAAAATTCTACCATTTTCCTACCAGGACAATAATTTTTTTATGTATTAATTGTGATAATTACTTCCACCAGTAAGTGGAGATGGAACTTGGAGATATTCCTTGGAGGGTGTTTACTACAGTTAGATTAAAATTACTTCAACAACTTCTCCAGAAAAAAAATCATATAAATCTTTTTCCAAGGGTAGTGAGCTAGTGGGATTGACTCCATGGCATAAGGTAAAGCAGCTAAGAGGCCTTTACAACTGTTTTAGCTACTGATTGAGGGATTGCTTAATAGGTAAGAGGCTTTAAATCTTCTTACCTAGTTTATTTCAAAGTCCCTTTATGACTTCCTTTCCTCAACTCTGACCCTAGGCAGATGGCAGCAGAACACTTCCGGAGGTTTTTATAATGCATTTGCAGCTTGTGAGGTCATAGCTACAGAGGTCATTATTCATTTTGTGATAGCAAAAGACAGAATCTCTCCTGGCATTCATACTGATGTTTATATTTTAGCATGGTTTTGGTACAGTTAACAAGCAGCCTAGATGTAAGGTGTGTTGGTCCTTTGTTCCTATATGAGCAGCTTTTGCCCTCTAAGAGAAATAGGATGTGTTTAAGTGGGAAATGCAGAAAGATTAGGCTGAGGTTTGTGTATTCTCAAATGACACCTACTGCTTTATTTATATTGTGCTCATGAATGAGAGAGATTTTGTGACCTGTTCCCTTGTTTGGTGTTTTCTGTGGGGAAAAACGTATATTGAGCATGATCCATAAATACCTATGGATCTTGCTCCCCACTATTTCATTTTCTTTATATTCACTCTGTAATAACAAACACTTTGGAAACTCAGCTTGGACACAGCTCAAGTAATGCAAGCATAATGCAAACCTTTGTTGCAATCCACTGTTGATGGTGTTAGCTAAACAAGTCTGTCATAGGCATTTGTCTCTGATCAACACACATTCCTGTACTGTGACATTATTACAAGTTGTCATGTCCCTGCTGTTTCTTGTACTGTAAAATTAATCCTTTAGATACTTGTTCTCTAATGGGGCATTCTGGAAGAGGTTTTTTTGTGGTGCCCTGTTTTATTGTGATTGAAGATATGACAGAGGTATTTCTCTGAGTGCTAGAAAGGCTATGTCTGATGTCTCTTGTGTTTTGCTAGGAACTGATTGATTACCTCAGGACGTACTCTCACAGTGCTGCGTATGCAACATCAATGTCGCCTCCTGTTGTGGAGCAAATCATCACCTCCGTGAAGTGCATTATGGGTGAAGATGGTACAACTATTGGTGAGTCTTTCTAGCAGTAAGCATGTAGAAAGGGGAAGGCAGAAAGAGCCTCTATCACTTTGACAGATAACACATTCAGTGGACACTTTCATAATTATCCATTAGTAATTCTGCAGTTGAAATTTCTGGGTCAATAAACCATTTACAATTCTGCTTGGCAGATCAGCCTAATAACAGCATAAAGAGTTTTCAGCTACAGGTAAGTCATCTTAGTCTTGTCTAAGACACACTGTTTTCTTGTACTGATTTTGGTTTTCTGTCAAGCTATTCTAGCTAGCTTCTTTTTCTTTCCATTGTCTGTCCTTTGTTATTTGCCCCACTTTAAACATTGCTTTCAGAGTATTTTGCTGTTATATCTTTTATAGTTGTGTGCTGGTTTATTGCAGGGACAGTGCTTTCAATTTTCATTTCAATTAAAGTGAATGTGGAAATGTTTCTGAAATCTCTTTTTACTTGGGGAGCTGGAGGCATTTTTCAAAATCGGTGAACTTAATGGACTAGGAGAAGAAATTTGTCAGCGTATTTGTCTTTATTGTCTTAGTTTTCCTGTTTCATTATAGAAGTAAAAAAGGGAAAATATGTACTACTCTCTGGACATTCCAAGTTGTGATGACAGATTCTTGTGTCTCATTTGCCTATGGGTTGCAGCCTCCTTCAGTTACAGCATGAAGCAAGTAGCCCTTTAAGCTGCCTTGAAGCTGAAATGGTACAGCTTGTATGTAGGTTACTTGCCCCTCCTCACAGGTAATTAAAAAGTTGTGAGCAGCTCACACAGGATGCTGATGTACTTTATTGAGGATCTGTTGGGGGCATTTAGTTTGGAGGCTCTTAGAATTCTAACTGCAGTATGTATTGAATTCTTGGAGCTTGAAGCATCTGGCCACAAGGTGGTGGTGGTGTATGCTGAAGAAGTGAATTGGCTTTTGAACATGTGCCTGACCAGCCAACCTGTTTGATAACTTACAGTGGAAAAGCCCAGTGGAAATATGACTTGAGAATTTTCCTGTTATAACAGTTTTCATTTGGTTTGCTTATGTTATCTGAGAACAGCCTCAAGTGCCAGCAGTGTGTGTAGGTGGTTGCTCAGCAGAGAGGCAAGTACAGCTGGGCAGCAGCCTGTGTCTGTGCTAGCTTTGAGTGCTTCTGAGTGGTCCATGGGAGAGACCTGTACCAAGCTACAGGAGTTGACTCCCTGCTCTCCAGTACAGGTATTGAGCAAGCTTCACATTACACAAAAAGTTGTCTTGCTGTAGTCTTAAAATAATTGTTTGAGGTTTTTATAGCTGGTGATTTGCCAACAATCTGTGCTCTGCTTAGGCGTTGCTTGTTTTGGGTTTCTTCCAGTATCTGTTTTGCTTAATGAAGCAGGAAGCAAGGAATGTGTAACTGATTTCTGTTTGCAGTATTTAAACTCAGGCATTTTTGCCTCTTTCTGAGGCTGCTGTGTGGTATTTGTTCAGGCCAGGAGAATGGAAGTAACTTCCATTCCACACTGCTTTCCTGCCATTATACCAGCAAGATCCATCCGAGCTGAAAGGCAAACCAGATTAGGAACCAATATGGCCAAAAAATAAACTCAAAAGATCGTTTCCGTTCTCATGTTGCTTAAAATGCGTGTTGAGCTACATCCTGCTAATTTGGTGCCAAGAAGTACCAGAATTCCTAGGCATTCTAACAAGAAAACGAGAGGTTTTGGGTTTTGATAGATGTCTCATTTCCAAGAAATTTCTGTATGTCCACTTTATATATAAGCTTTTGCACTTTTCATAAGTGATGGGTATAACACCTGGATAGCCAGAACCCTGTCAAATCTCAAAGGATTTCTCAGCTGCAGGTCTTGTGAAAGTGTTAACTGGCTTTTTAAGCATCTAAGTCAACTTTGAGTTAAGATAAGCACCTCACAGGATGATTGCTGCATGAAAGTGCTTTTCTATTTATTTTCTGCTGTGTGCTGTTTCCCAGTCATGCATTTTTAAAATTGCCTTAAGGCTTTAGAGATAATATTACTTTGTAGACATTTTATGTGGATGAAGTTGGCAAAAGTTCAGTTGGGTGAACTAAGCAGCTGATTAGTGATAGGATGACAAATTTTTTTCTTTGTTTAAGGGCTTTGGCTGAAAAACTTGTGTTTGGATTCTGTGGAATTACAAGTGGGGCTCTGGAGGACTACTGCCTACAGCTGGTTTGACTATGAATAAATAAGGAGTAGATGGGTACTGGTAATAGTTAACTGTGAAAGACAAGTGGAGAAATAGTGTTAAACAGGGTCACTGGCAAGCACCTCTGAATTGACTGTGTACTACAAAAATTTCGTTGCTTTTAAGTTAGTCAAGCTGAATGAATCTGTAAAGGAAACTGAGATAGGGCAATGGTTTTACAGCAGCACAGGAGTTGGAGCTGGAATCCCAACAGTAGATGGCTAGCTCCCAACTTTGCTTTGGACCACAGCTAAATCTTTTAATAGCTTCAAGAGTGCTTTCTTGAAAAGAGCCTTTGTGGCTTCTTTGTCTGTCTGCTTCTGTTTACCACATGCTATTTGTAAAACCTGCTGTCCTCCATGTCTTCAAATCTTTGTGGAAATTGTCATGTCAGATTGAGATAGTCTGTAGCTGAGGAATAAGTAATAGGAACAAAGTAGTTTTTGAAGATGAAGGGGTTTTTGTAAATAATTTTGCAAGAATATGTTCATTGTCTAGGTTATTTCTAAATCTAAAGAAGCATCTGAAGACTCCAAACTTACAATATGAGGTGTTGTAATTACTAAAACGTTACATAACTTAAAAAAGTGAATGTCTTCTTTCAGATTTTTCCTGCAAGTTGCCAGTGACTAAATAGGATATTGGGAAGAGGCAGCACAGGCAAAAGAGATGCTATGAAAAGCTTCTCTGCAGAGATTTCAAGACATGTGCTTATGTGCAGATATGCTGCTTTAGTTGGCACAGTAGTTTTCTTGTGTCTTGATTTCTACTCAATCTGTTAATTCTTTGTAAGGTGTATGCATGTAATTGACTAGCTGACTTCAATCACCCTGAAGACAGTTACAGCAGTATAGTTATATATTAATATATTACTTGTTCCCTCATCCAGATTGCAAAAACAATGCTAACAGCTAAAGCAATAAGGTGGCAGTCACCTTATGGGTTCTTGGTAGTGGTGGGTTCATCTGTGGGTTCTTCCAGTACTGCAGCTCCTCTACATTACCAGATCAATCCTCTGTCCTGTTTTACTTTGCATTACTTGTCTTGTACTGTAATTGGCTAGAAGACCATCCTGGGTCTTAAACAAGACATACTTGATCTGTGATCCCTTTGAGAATTTCTTCAAAGGTACAGTCATCCTCAAGAGTGTTGAGCCCCTTGAGCATATAGACTCTCTTCAGAGACCTCAGGTGACAATGTACATGAATATCTTGTATATCATCACATTTGGCTTTAATATATATAGTGGAGCAAGATGCTCATGAGGAGAAATGGAGAAGTCTTCTTTCTATAAAAACAAACTTTTTGAACTGTTTTCCAATTCAAAGTCTCTATGTATGAAAACTTTAATGAGAAAGTGTTGCAGATGCTTGTCAGCAGTTTGGTGAATGTTGCTCTTGCTGTGTTGAGCCACAAAATGAATGAATGTCAGATAGTTTTGTAGATAAAGGAGCTTTTTAAACAATGATAATAGAAAGACACAATAAGCAGACTTTTCAAGGTCATAGTATACATACACAAAGATGACAAATTGATTCTTGGAATGGAGTTTTGGAAAGCTGTAGCATAAAGCCACTTGATGCTTGCTGTTATTTAAATTGACTGTAGGGAAAATGAGACAGCTTGGTTCTTGTCATGGTAAATGAGACATTGTTATGATTTATGATGTTAAGTACTTGACCTGTCTTGGTGAATTTTTCAGCATCAATGATTTGGTTTGAGTTGAAAGCTAGATTTTTGCCGCTACAATTTCACTAGAACTGGGAATCCAGCTGGCTCCTTTCTGTTTTTTACGTAAGAGCCAGTGATGCATCCTGTACAACTGGAGTTCTGTTAGTCTTGTAGCTGTTCAGGACCCAGCCTGCTTGTTACCCTGATAACATTGCTGGGGGCAAGTGAAAGAAAATCATAAGTAACCCAAGTGAGATACAGGCAAATCAAAACATGCTAAGTGAAACCAGTCTAGGGACTGGTTAACCACCTCAGAAGTGAAACTTAGTTTGCTCTCCTATGTATTGAAAACTGAAGATGAGCCTTAAACCCAGGTGTAGTTTAAGTTTCAACTAAAGCTGGCAGTACTAATGGCTTGTAAAAGAGATGAGCTATTTCTTTCCACAGACCTTAACTCAGTAATAGTAATTATAACTCTTGACATTTGTAACAAGTTTGACTGACTTCCCTGTGGATTTTATGAGGCAAATATCCCACACCTAATCATAGAGCTATACACAGCATGTATAAATAAGTTGTGGATAGACCTTGCCCAAGATCACTTGTAAATTTGACTGAATGCTGTCTTGAGCACTGTATAGAAATGAAGGATTATTATCCAGCATAGTTCAGTGGAGGTGGCAGTTGCATTGGCCATCCCAGCTGCTGAACCATTGGAAACAAATAACTGCTCTTTGAAGGCTGGTCAGTCAGTTAGCAGCACAGAGTCAGATTGGTATTTGTCTCAGCATCTCAGTTGTGAAGAGCCAGGAATTTATTCCACCTCATCAGTGAAAACATTTTGAAAAATTTCTACTCTTGCCATTGCTACGTGCAACAATATTGAGTGAGTTAAATCAGAGAAGGCAGTTAAACCAATTATAACCAAAATAATAAGAATGTACAGCTGTCTTGGCAGAGAATTGAGCATAACTAAGCCGTTCAGAATTCAGAACCATTGTTATACTGTCCATATGCCCAGGGAGAAGCATGCTGGGGAAAAAAACCCCAAAAAATAAACCAAACCAAGCTCAGATGGTCTGCTTAAATTCTGGAGGAGAAAAGACTGCAATTGGTACTTTACCTTCCATC